AAAAAAAAAAAAAAAAAAAACGCAATGACGAGGCGAAATCTCGAAGGAGGAGGAAAAAAAATCAACACAAATCTCGAGGAGGAAAACGTTTTCCTTCGATACTTCGGTGTGAGGGAACGCGTGTCGGCAAACCGTGTTTGCCGCTCGAAATACGGGAATCGCCCTTTTGTTGCCGGGGATACCTAAGGGTGTTCCGCGACCGGAAATTGAACACGACCGTTTACTACTGTGTAATAATTGGCTTCGCACCGTGCCACTTAAACAGCAATTGTAGGTCATCTCGGCGAGGCACTTGGCACGACACACACACAATACTACCGCGCTTTCTCTCTTGTCCTTCCTCGTCTGTCTCTCTCTCTCTTTTCCATATAGACAGAAGGCTATCGGTCGAGATTGTTGACAATAACACTGGAAAATGGTTCTCTCTCTCTCTCTGTCTCTCTCTCTCTTTCTCTCTCTTTTCGAATAAAATCCATTGAGTGTTAAATACTGAGTAACGATTCGCCCATGAAAACGGAAATCGCGCGACCGGCCAGAACGTTATAAACGAACGCGATTAAAATGTATTGACGTAACATTTAACCTTTAGAAACTCGGGGAAAAGACGTTGTAACGTTCCACTCTCACGCCACCTTTTATTTCCTCATTCGAAATTCTTGATCAGATTTAGTTCCTCTCTCTCTTTCTCTCTCTCTCTCTCTCTCTTACTACGACTCGCCGATACAATCGGCGTAATTAACTCGGGGATGGGAGGAGGCCAAAACTCTCTCTTACAGTTGCGCGATACTCGTAATTGTATAATCACCCTAATGAGTCGCCCTCAAAAGAGTCCGGAGGCGAACAGGATGTTGAATTATTTCAAAGCCACTTCTATCTCGTTAATACCAAGTTGGCGACGTTTGAATGGTCCGGAGAAGAGTAACTTACTTTACAGTTTCTGTATATTAATATCGCGCGCGACATTTTCCTCGGGATCCCGATTAGATCCCGAGACGAAGTTTAAAATTTCATCGGGCGCATCATTAGACCGAGTCTACTTTTGAAACAACTTAAAAAAAAAAAAAAAAAAAAAAAAAAAC